ACAGTTGCTGGAATCGTCATATCAGGCTTCATGAAGCTGATCAAGTAGTGGGGCTATTACTGTTTGTTTCTGCTAGCATTTTCCACTCCACAGCATCCTCCAAGGTTATGCTGTCTATATGTGTGTGTATGCAGTATGTGCAGTATTTATATACATGTATACGTGTATATGAATCCCACTATTGATTAGCTGATTCTGTCTGAGGCTGGATTTCTCTTTGTTGTGTTGTTTGCTGACGGGCTCATCAGCTCGGCTCAACAACACATTTCCATCCTAACAGGAAGCAGTGAGATAATGAGCACATGTATTAATACCAGCTGTGAATGCAAATACACGTGGGTGTCAGTATGTACCATACAGTGATGTGGGTCGCCTGACAGTAGCAGGTGTAAATTGAACCCCTGTCATTCAGAGAGTCTGTCTGATCTCTGGGTGCAGATGAACTTTTCTGTGACGTTCTTTTTTCTTCTATTTGCTCAAATAGATTTGGGGAAGAGAAACAGATCTGAGAATCAAAAAATGTTCAAATCCATCATATATTCCTGTCACCACAGGATACCTACAGCAGCTTCATGCTGGAGGCCCATCATTTATCATAGTGGCGTCTGATTTTCTATCATGTGTGTGGAGGATAGAGCTGTGTTTACTGAGCGTGGGACAGTGTGAGAAGTAATTTCACACATTTCTGGTGCGATAGAAACTGTGAATTTAAAAATACTGGGTCTACTCCAAAGTGATTTGCAGACAACAAATTGGGATTTTGCGTAGTGCGCCGGAGGTAGCACTGATTGGGCCGCAGCAACGTTCAGACTGTTCAATTCTCTAAAATCACGTCCCAAAAGGACGTCCCCACAATGAGATGTAAAGTTGATGGACATTTGTAGCGCCTTTAGTCACCACTGTGTGGGGATGTAGTGCCAGAACTATTGTTCCAAATAAAGGTTCATGCTTCTTCTTGTCTCACTTGCCTCCACCAGACTGAACTTGCCCTCAATATGTTAGAGGCAGGAAAGCCTTTGAGAACACGGTAAAGGACAAAACATGCAACTTCAACACTAAGTAATGTATTAGAGAACAGAAATAAAGTGTTGATTTATCTTGATGCTGCAAACATTCAAGTCATAGTACGAGTAGAGTATATCTATGTGAGTCAAAATGGGTTTTTTTTAGCTCCATTTGATTTTCATCTTTTGCCAAGAAATATAAGAAATTGGAATTTGAAACACAGAAGTGTTTAGACTTTCTCTTCAAACCTTTGGACTTACGCTCATACCGCTGCTACTCTGCAAAATGGTATTGTGGTATTTCATCCAGTTTATTTATTTATATTATGTAAATTATTTGAGTATCATCGTACATTTTTTTTTCTTTCACTGATAGAACGTCAAAATTCCCCTTCATTTACTTTCTTAATTAAACAACCCAGGGAAAACCACAAGTCAGTTCAGGAGAGCTCGGACTTCATCCAATTACTGTTACATATTGATCTGGGTGAATAACATTTCCAGTGTTGAATTATTAATGAGAGGAAATATTAAGAGCATGACAAAGATGACATGCACCGACATGCTCAGTAACAGTCCAGTCCAGGCTGATCAATTATTCAGGGTTCCAGTAAAATATTGATGGTGAATGTCATGGCTGCAGGCGTTAAAATAACGAAGGATTTTTGTTTTGTGATGATGTGAAGCTAATGTCAGTGTTTCTAATATAAAAAAGTAGATATAATCTGGAAAAAAAAGGCTGAAAGGATAAATAGAATTGATCATAGGAAACACACACGATATGGGACCTGCCTGAGGACATCAGACAGAGACAGAGAGTTGTCTCTTCCTCTTGACACCTGCTCCTTCTGCCACAGGGCACTGACCCAGAGTCTTCAACACGGCTCACCGCTAAACAAACCACCAACAGGGAAGACTGCCCTCACCACGGAGCAGTGAAAGCACACCAAAGGAAAATGATCACATGACTCTGCAGTTGCCCCACAGCTATACAGAGCAGTTTACGACCCAGCAGCAGTTTTCAGCAAAAAAACAACATTAAAAGCAGTGGCTCTCAACACAAAAAAACAAAAACAGTGTCGGTCCTGGATATATATGGACTTCATTCCTTTAGTTTAACATCAATTGATTTTAAAATTCATACCTAAAGTCATAAATTCTTTGTGTTGTTATGATTTTTTTCATTGAAACGTTTCTAGATGTCTTTAACCTACGGCTTTCAGAATCAACATAATAATTTATTTAATTTGTGAAATTGATTTGCACATGTAAACATAGAGTAAGAACGATGAGCCCTGTTTATCCAATAATTCAACCGTCCATCCATTTATCACTGCTCTGTTGTACAGTCAATACAAAGTGTCATTTACTTCACACATGCTGCGAGGAAAAGGTTTTCATTTCACCCAATCACCTCAAGCTTAGAATGCCTTCTCAATAACCAGCATGTGTTTGTGGAGACCTCACCTTCAGGTTACAGTATGTCAGTGCATGAAGGTAAATACATGTACGGCTGACGGTCTGACTGACAGCACGACCAAATGACTTCTCATTGTTGAGGACAGCTATAACTGTATTTAATGACATTTTTCTATATTAATAATTCAATCTTTTTGATTATTTATCCTTCTGTTCCAACAATATACTTTTTTTTCATTTTCTGTTATGGTTAGGAATATTGACTTATCTCTAGTAATCATGATTAATTGAAATAGATCCAGAGCAATACAGTGATTAATTATATGACTTTTTTTTCATTTCACAGCCCTGGTTTGGACTCAGAAAATATATTTAAGCTGGTCAGTAAAACACTACAAATCATTTGTCAGTTTGTCTGTTAAATGATTGTTCAGAGAACTTCACTCATCACTCCGACCTCGTGTTGCTGTGGCTGTAACTGTAGATGCACACATAAGCAGATGTTTAAACGGAGCTCATTAAATACGATCTGATGTAACATCAGCGTGATGGTGTTGCACCGACTCCATGTAGGCCAGGCTAAGGAGTTGTCAGGATATCAAGCAGCACAAAACAAATCTATTTTTATGTGGTGTTGAATGAAGTGGTTATCATCAGACTCATCCAACCATGCCACCTTTCAGTGTCAGCACTGATTCACACTGAGCTGCAGTAACAAAGTCGACACAACCGTTTCCTCCTCCTACGGAGCAGCAGCAGCAGCAGCAAGTGTAGCTGTTGCCTCAGAGGAGTGTACACAGAATACAGATCCAATGCCATATTTGACATGATATGAAAACCAAGTGTTCTTTAGCTCATGTTCTACCAGCCCGGCATTCTACGTCTCTATCCAAACACAACGTTGATAAAAGCTGATGGTCTGTCAGGAATCTTCAATTAGAGACCCGACTCCCGGGGTCTACGGGAGTTCACAGAGCACACATGCTGTGCCAACAACGCTGGCACAAAAATGTCACACGTGTTGTTAAAGTTAGCAGAAGCTCAGCTTCACACAGGTGCTGGGGATTTAAAACAACAACAACAACAACAACAACAACAGCCGTAGTTAAGGGATAAAAAGCACAAACGATGACTGTTACAGATCTGGGGACAGTTATAGGTTTTCTCCTGCAGGAGAATAATGGGACCCAAGTCAGCACCTTTGTCTGCAGTTTTTTTATGTGGTTTGTTTGGTAAATTGGACACTCTGTAAAGGTGTTTTTTTTCAACACCTTGGAATAATTGTGTTTACAATGAAGAGCTGTGTGAGCTGGGTGTTGGGTAAAAAGGAGGAGATGAAGATACAGAAAGTGAGTCTGCATTCTGCCTTTTTTTCCTCTCTTCCTTTTCTTTATTCTCGCCACATTCTGCCAATGTGCACTTCTGTCTAACTGCATGACTTGCCCTGGATTCATTCTTTTCTCTCTGCCTCTCTAGGACATTACACTTTAATCTCATCTTCTTTGCAGCTATCTCTCTCTCTCTCTCTCTCTCTCTCTCTCTCTCTCTCTCTCTCTCTTCTTGCTTCCTCTTTCGGTCTCTTCATCAGTCACTCGCTCTCTCCTCAGTCGCCATCCATCACTTCATCCATCCTTTTTTGCCATTCTTCTCTAATCCCCATGCTCTCTGCAGCTTTGACCCTGGGAATCTCATTCTAATCTGCTGTGTCAATATGGCCCTGTTTGACTGTTAATCCCGTTCTTCTATGCACAAGTCTGCGTGTGTGTGTGTGTGTGGGAGCTGTTAGCGGTTTTGTTGAGATGTGTGTGATGACGGGATGTTTTTGTCTTGTGTTCCGTGTGTTTTCACTGAGGTCTCTGACCTCAACTGTATGAAGCAGGAGAATAAACAAAGGCCATTCATTTCTCATAGGAGTGTGAGTTAAAGCACAGGGTGCAGACGTTGTCGTGAATAAAGGGCACGTCTACTGGGAGGTGCGTTAATCCCCTCTGACACATAACATGCACACACACACACACACACACACATGTAAAATACCACATTGTAGGAAAACACACACTCCTCGCATGAGAAATACAGCAGGGAGAAGAAAGATGGGAGAGAAGGGAGAAAGCATGCAAATGGGAATAGTCTCTCTTGACAAAGTCTAATCTCTCACTTTAATCTCCTTGTGCTCGTGACTCCATGCTGTTTACTTCTTAGAGTTCGTCTTCTTCTTCTTTTTTTTTCTCTATTTGACTGTGATGTAAAGTCAGGACCAACAGGAACATGCACAAAACACACACACACACATACTGCACACACAGATACTCCCACAGCCTCCTGGTGCACACCGAAATCTCATCATCATCATCATCATCATCATATTACCACAGTTTCATCAATTGTCCGCATATTAAAAAATTTAAAAAAAATTAAAATCAAACCCCGAACTTCTATGTTTGTGTCTGTACGGGTGAGTTCGGTCCCGGTCAGCAGCCTGGACCAGGGCTGGGACGAGCGGCACAGGGAGCGATAGGGAGGATGCACCCGGGATGTGTGTGTTGTATGTCACAAAATAGAGAAGAAGCGACTAACCTGCGATAGTGTTTTCTCTCTGTCCCTCTGTCCTCGACTCCTCCCGGCTCTGTCTGTCAGCCGTCAGTCGGCATCTTTCCCTCGGCAACTTCACTACTTCAACTCCACAATGTCTTTTCATGACGTGGAAGCGACAAGCACTCATCAACATATATCTACACACACACACACACACACAAACACAAATATACACTCACTCTCTTTCTCTCTTTCTTCTCTTCTTTCGCAGCTCCGCGTCTCCTAACTGTGAACTACAGCGCAGACACCGGGCTGCCAGTCTCCGTTAATCCCCGTGGATTCTGGGCGTTTGCGTATCAGGATTATTTTTGCTTAAATTAACCAAATGTTGTTTTAGTGACGATCTGACAGGTGTCGCCTCCAGTGGACGCTCACACTCCTCCTCCTCCTCCTTCTTCTTCTTCTCCCTTGTCTGTTCCGTATTTCTTTTCTTCGTGTAGGAGCGGGAGCTGCGCTCTGAGGCTCTGCACTCTCTCTGTTTCTCTGTTTCTCTCTCTCTCACTCCCTCTCCCTCTCTCTCTCTCCCCTTCTATATCTGCGTCTCTTCTTCCTCCGTCCTCTCTCCGCTCGTGTGTGTGTGTGTGTGTGTGTGTGTGTGTGTGTGGTAGGGGGTATCGCTCTAACATCGCTTCTTTGAGCTCTGTTACAAGGGTTCAGCCCGCGCGGGCCACCAATTACCCCCAACCCACCAAGAATTAGACTGACAGGTGCGCACTGACACACACACACACGCACGCTCTCACACACATAAAATCCACAGGCAGACACACACACACACACACAGTGGTGGCAGTGGTGGAGTCTGCTCTGAGGCCCTGCAGCTGGAGACTAAGTGGATTTAGCTTCTCCAGGGAAGACAGAGAACAGTTTCTTCATACTTGGCAGTGATGTATAGAAGGAATCCTGGTTGGAGTTTTTTACTCATTGTCAAAGTTGGTCTTAAGAGAATGTGCACTTTTGCAAGGTAGGCAAAAGGTGTGGAGGGGCACCGATATCCTGAATCTGCATGTGACCAGTTTGAAAAGCACTATCTAATCATCCAAACTGTGGGCTGGATCCCACATCCCTGGGAATGTTGTGAAAATCTGTCCTTTAGAGTCGTGCTGCTCACATACCCACAAACAGACCAGAGCTGAAAACAAAACCACACCTTTAGTCTCCCGCCACAGGCAGGTAATGAAAACTCACACACACACACTCACACACTCACACACACTCACACACTCTAACAGGTAGAGGCTGCAGCTAACACACTCTCCCTGCAGATTAATGCCTGGGACACGACTCTAGTTCAATTGTTATTGATGCATTTTAATTCCGACTTTGTGACCAATGATTTTTATTTCCCTTTGAGGCATTCCTCACAATTAATTTGCATTTATTAGCTGTGGGCTGCTCTGTCACAAAAGGCTGGCCTCAGTTCAACCCACAGACACAGGAAAACTCAGTGTTCTTTTCCAGTAGAACATGAACATGTGGCAGACCTGCAGAACCCAACATGCAACACAAAGCTGCTCCTCCACCACCAGCAGCTCCACCCTCTGGTGGTCGTCTAAACATTTTGTCATCTAGTCTAAATGATGTGACTTTACCTCCAGACTGAGACTTGTTCATTACTTCAGTTCTTAGATCGTTATAATAGTGTGAATTTCATATACACACTATATATGACTTTCATATATCCATATATCAGGACACCATGACAGGTGTAAACAGCTTTAGAGCTACACCATCTACAGTACAGCACCAGACCTAAACTGTAGATGTCACTACATTTGTACTATTTAATGCAGGATTTACTCATTTTCTTGGCTCTAAAAAGGGATTTAGTTAGCAAACCTGTGGCTAGTTAGGCTATGCAGGAAGTGAGTGAAACAATATGATATTTGTTATTAATGGTTTAACTAATTAAACACGTTGAAAAGAAATGGTATGAAATAGATTCATAATGTTGTTTTTGACATTTTCTATGTTACAAAAGGCACAATTCTGTCTCATGATAACCAGTTAATGTTGCATAGCATTTGTTATCATATTCTGAGCAGATTAAGCTCAAATTGTGCCCCAACCTTTTTTGGGTTTTGCTTTATAAACAGGAGAATTTAGTTATTGTTGAATGAAAATTAGATTGTTTAGTATGAAATGAAAAAATCTTATTCTGTCTTTCTGGTTTTCCCCAGGGTAATTTAAAGCAGATTTTTTTTATGTAATACTCAAATACAAAACATATTGAAATAAACAGCTTGAATACTGCTGTGCTGTATTTAATGGCCTAACATTGTAATCTGTTAGGTGTGAAGACACCCAAGGTGAAATGCAACACAGTACCGTATAAAACAATTCAAAATGATTAATGCTGTGACAAATGCTACCTACTGTAATCATACAGAACTTCCTGTGTATTAGGGAGATAAATACAGTGTCATTGTGTTGTTTTGCATATGATACATATTTTTATCACCGCTCAAGAACAAATGGTCTGGTTTTAAACAGGGAGATGATTATTTAACTGCACATATAATGTTTTCATTTTCTCTTCGTGCGTGAAAAATAGCCGTCACAGTCCTGCAGGAACTATTAACGCATATGCAGTAAATTACTGTAATTTATCGGCTGCTGTTCCTCATGGTATCAGTGTAGTAACTCTGCTCAGGCTGCTATTGTCTTAAGTAGGTTAAACTATTTTAGTTGTCCAATCTCTTTAAGTTACCAGCATTTTTTAAAATTATTTTTTATTTTAGAAAATTGTGTGTTGCTCGTTTAATGATAGTCATGAGTTAGAGTAGACACAGGCTACTTCCTGGGCAGAATCTCAGTGTAACACTGTGATTTGGACTCTGAGCATCAACACACCATTAAATATTAATTTTTATGTCTTCTGTGTGAATTCTCTGGGTTTATTATGGGCAGCATTTCTGTCTAATAAAAAAGTATTTGACGAAAAGAAGGTCAAAGTGTAAAATGCTTAATATTTTATTTCCACTACGTTAACGAGAGGCTCTGTCTCACTGTGGAAGCAGCAGAATGCAGTAATATAAGTCTTTCAGTTAAAACCTGGGATTCAAATGCAAATCACAGCATCTTTTAAAGTACCAGCAGGTTTATTGTTTACAGGTGAGGGGGCGGGGCTTTGTTAGGCTCAGGCAGTGACTCCGCCCCTTGGAGCAGTAGCAGATGCCTGTATTTTATGTTATAAAATCACTGAACAGAAAATCATCACTGACTTACTTTACTGATTGAAAAAAAACATGTCCTTACTGACTCAGCTCTTGAATGGCTGTAAAATAATAATATAATAATAATATTTTTAAAACAGAAAATGACAAAAATGAGAAAAAGAACCTATTTGTGCTTCTCCTGTGTTTTTTCTGAATCACAAAAGGATGTTTTTTATTTCAAACATACCACTGCAGCTTGACTTTAGTGACAGTGTTTTCAGCAGGCGACACAAAGAAAACACTGCTGCTCATTTGCATTGAAGTCAAACTCTGGTCGACTTTCTTCTAGTCCTCATTTGCGTGGCATCTCTCTGCCCTTGTTACTTTTTCCTGTAATGAGTGACTTCCACGAGCTCTGTGTTAATTTGTTCCTGCAGGTGTGAACACATGGGAAAGACGTACATATTTAGACAGTTATACGTGTTTGTTTTTAGTTTCTTATGTTGTCAATGCACTCTGCTCAGAATTTAATGAGGAAAAACAAAACAAAGCAATCTTTGCTGTGTGTATTATGCTAGATCCCACATTTCAGGAGAGCAACATTAAAAATTGAATTTGACAAGATGTGAAACAGTGAAATAAAGCAGCCACTGTGAGGTGAAATAGAGGTGTTTCAGATCAAGGTGTGAATAAGACTGCAGGAGACGGAGGCACACGTTCACACTGATGACAAATACAGATGCCATTAAAGCACAAAACCCAGCAAAGCTCTCAAGTATCATTTATTAATTTAACTTTCATTATGCAATATCTGTTCAACTCCACTGTTTTTGTGTACTGCACAGAATGGGGCAGGCATTAATGGATTCACGCACTGTGTTATTATGAACCTCATTTGTTACTAGATTATTTTAATCTGAACGCAAATTAGTTTCTTTGTGATGTTTTTTTATGGCATGTTTGGATCTTTGCCCCATCCTCTGGGTACAAAAAAAAATCTTACATTTAATTCATTTTCTTTTTTCAAGATTATATTTATTGTCAGATAAAGGTGTAGAAGCACTGGCTGCGTTTGTCTTATGTCTTATCAGCAGCTTTGTCTCATTTTCCACCAGGACAGTGTTCTCAAATGGACCAACTACATCATAGCAAGAAATTAAACGACCAGAGAGGTATAATGGTGGTTAGAAGCAGTGGGCAGGAGAGGAGGGGGGAGGGAGGCAGCAGAGGGAGGAGGGAGGGAGGGAGGAATACACAAACAGGTTGCACTGGGGCCTGGGGAGTAAGGGAGAGAGCGCTGAGAGAAGATGGAAAGAAAAAAAGGACGGAGAACCACAGAAAGGAAAAACAAAACAAAACAAAAGATGGTTTAAAAATCACAGCCTAACATAAAGGGACATAAACCCTGTTTGCATCATCGTCGTCATTATCATCATCATCATCATCATCATCATTACTTTTTACACAGCCGTACAAACACAGAGACAGTGTCTCAGTCAAACCGCAGTAGAATTAATGTCTGTTCTTCCTTCTGTCCATGTTTCTCTCTCCGTCACTGACAACTTCTTCACTCTCTTCCTTTTGGTCAGGTTTTAAGCCTTTTACACTTGTCCTTCACTGCTGCATCAATTTACCCAGACCCACCATGCGTCTCCCCATCATGTGTCCCACTCCCCCGTTCGTTTTTACCCCCTGGCTGTGATAACTTACCTCCAATAGAAGTACTAGTCCACTCCATCTTGTTGTTTTATGTTCCCGGCAAATTTAGTCCTGCGTCTCCCTTCTCCACCTCAACTCTCTTTCACTTGGTCTCTGTCTCTCACTCACTCACACACTCACTCGCCGTCACCCCTCCCTCCCCTTTTCCATCGCTCTCTCTCCCCCTCCCCGAGCCCTTCCCCTGTCCTACACCTAACACTCTCCTCCTCCTCCTCCTCCTCCTCCTCCTCCGTCTTCCTTCACTTCCTCCCTGTCAACTTACTCCTCACCCTCTCACCCTGAGTGTAGTTGTATAACTTATCACCCTGATCCCCTCTTCACTCTGATAATCGTGTCGGCAGCAGATGCTAGCTGGCTTTATTTAGCTGTTCAGGATTAGTGACTACAATTAGTGCAATTTAATGTCAGTGGATCCAGGAGACTGAGCTTCTGTCATGTTTGCAACGTCGGGGTGGTGTAGAGTTGCTCTGTGTGTGTGTGTGTGTGTGTGTGTTTCACCTCTGTGTGTGTCCAGTGCAGCAGTGTATTAAAAGAGCACAGTGTTACATTCAATTCACACTTGACCGAGTAGTAGATACACGTTGGTTTTAACAGATGGTGAAACATCTTCCCTTGAGTATCACCATTTCTGCCTCCTTCTCTCTGCCTCTCTCTAATTAACTATCTTTCAGTAAC